TGTGCGATTCGTTTCGTTCCGAATCGAAATTCGGACAAAATTTCGTAAATTCAGAGATTCGGATGTATCCGAATTCCGAATTAATTTTTTTGGGACGAACTTTCGTTTTTTGGGCGAAATTTCGTTGCAGTAAAGTGACATTTGAGAACAAAAACCTTTTTTTCCCTCTTAAATGTGACTTTGCTGCAACGAACGAACAAACAAAATGAAAACGAAACACATTTTAGTACGGATTTCCGCTAACGAATTTCGTCCAAATCTGAATTCCGAATCAAATTGACTTTCGGACTCAAATTCCGAAAAACAAAATAAAGCAAAATCCGAATCAAAACAAAACGAAAATAAACAAATGTTTTGCTGGTGCACATGTCTGCTAGCAGGGAACAGAGCAGGGGAGCTGAATGAGGCAGTGGAAGACAGATTAAGCTGGTAGGTCAAGGTACTAGGTAGGGTACTGCAATGCTAAGTAGGTGGCATTAGGTCCCCCAGGTTGTGGAATCTAAGGGCCAGCCGGTGTTTACCAGACTTGGTAAACCAGGTGGAGATGGACTTGGCTGCTTGCTGACTCCAGGTTAGGGATGAGCCGAACACCCCCGTGTTCGGTTCTAATTCGAACTTTCGAACATGGAAAAAGTTCTAATTCGAACTTAGAACTCAATGCAAGTCTATGGGGGTAGAACTCAGAAAATTAAATGTCCCCATTTTGAAGCCTTATATGCAATTCATTGGCCATAAAAAGTGTATGGGGATCCGGGTACTGCCCTGGGGGACATGTATCAATGAAAAAAACACTTTTTTCATTGTGATCACTGTCGAACAGACCGCGGACATCCCGTAATGTTCGGCGTTCGGCGAACGCTAGAACAGGCTATGTTCGAGTCGAACCTATGTGCGACTCGAACATGCAGCCCATCCCTACTCCAGGTCACAATCCCCAGGTTTACCCAACTCACCTAACAGCCAACAATGGTTGGCAAGGCCAGAATTCTGGACAGACTGCAGACACACATACAACAGACAAAACAAAGGTGACAGGCGGATGACTAGGACTTCCAGGGACAATCCAAAGGATAGGGACAGAGGGGCAAGCCAAAGGTCAGTACACGGATAAACTTTAAGGAATTTAGGTTCAATAGTAAACAGGGGGCTTGGCATCTAGCTTAGGAAAGTGGTGCTCGGGCCGCACGCCGTGCACTGCCCTTGGTTTAAATAGAGTTAGCAAGAGGGAGGACGCACAGGATTGGCCATGAGCAGACTGCACTGATTGGCTGAGAAGCTGCATAAGAAATAGCAGGAGGGGGTCGGCTGATGCCTAAAGCTGCCAGACTGGTGAAAGAGCAAGTCAGGTACAGAGCACATGCCTGGAGGACTACAAGCAACAGCACAGCCCTGCATGTCTGCAGAACAAGGGGTAAGAGGTCTGCATATACTTGTAGAACTACAACAGCTCCAGCCATTTAGCAGCTGAAATCAGCCGTACATCGGCTTGCTTCGTGCGACTTCGGGTCGGCTGAACATGCTCAGAAGGACATGTGCAGAAGGAGTTTGACTCAGCCGATCCAACATCTGGAACGGCTAAACCGAACCTCCGACAGGCTACTCGCTGCTGTTCGGCCTATTCTCATAGATGCCGAACAGCAGTGAGTGAATAGCCGAATGCCGCCGAGCGGCATTCGGCTCGGCTGTTCTGCTCGGTACCTCTGTGGTACTGAGCAGAATAGAAAAACATAAAATAGAAAATGATTGGGTGGAGCTAGCAGTGACAGCTAGCTCCGCTTAACTGTTTTCTATTGGTCGGGCGGTTCTGCTGCCGTCAGATTAATTTAAAAAAAATCACCATAGGAATGCATAGCTAGATTCCTATTAGCTATTTCACTTTGCAATAGCCAATAGCAAACTAGCTATTGCACCCGCCCCCTGCTGCTGTCAATCACTAGAGGGCACCTGATGGAGAACTTCAGGTCCCCTCCGCTGATTGACAGCAGCAGTGGGCGGGTGCAATAGCTAGTTTGCTATTGCAAATTGAAATAGCCAATAGAATCTAGCTATGCATTCCTATGGTATTTTTTTTTATTCTGACGGCAGCCAACGACTCCGATGTCAGAAGAAAAAATAAAATAGAAAAAACAGCAGGGAAAGGTTTACTCTGCTCGATCAAGCAGAGTAAACCTTTCTGGAACAAAGTGTTTCTCTCCCGGGCAGCTGGGAGCCGCTATCTAATAGCGGGGGACTCCCGGAGCGTCCGGGAGAGTTGGGCTGTCTGGAGATCAGTGTCCCTAGTTACCTGATAACCAGGGACGCTGATCTGTCTGTGCAAGTGGCTGGAACCAGCCAATGAGATGACGGCTGGCTCCACCCAGCAGCCAGTAGCAGGCTGTCGGCCAGCCAATGGCTTTCACCTCGGCTCAGTATAGCCGAAGCATATGCCTTCGGCTCGACTGAGCTGCTCGGCCGACTTCGGGAGCTGTGCGGGCTATAGTGAATAGTTGGTGGACACTGTGGACACAATCTAATAGAACCTTCTTTTAATGCGATGCTTCTGAAACAAGGGAAGTAAACTTACCCCTTTCTTTTCAAAAAATCAATGCCCGGTTCAATAGAGGATCACTCGGTTAATAGATTTATTTGTGTTGACATCGTCTCACGTTATCCTAGGAAAGCTTTCGCTATTGCAATATACACCTGATGTTTATGTATTTATGATATGTCTTGAGAATTCACATGTTTGAAAGGAGCATTTGGATGTAACTCTTGATCACATTTATTTTTGTAGTCACATTCACTAAGGATAACAAAGAGTTATGGATTCAAGTGCTTGTATGTAGTTAAACCACAAGATGTAAGTTACAGAGTGGAATCAAGCCTTTTAGCACATAAGGGTTTCACAGACCGCTACACGAGATTCATCAATACAGCACTATACTTTATCACCCAAATAAAATTGGCAACGCTGTAGCGGTACGATGCTGACACTCACTTTTTATTTGTAGAGTTTGTTAGTTGGTTTACAAAACTGAGCACAACATAAGTGGTAGGCTAACTAGTTAGCCGGGTTTGAGGGTTTGTGGCCCCGCACAGTTAAAAACACCCTCCCCATTCCACTACTCACCCATCGGCGTTGGTGTCATGGAAGGCTTCGTTTCTGCGTTCCAGCGTCTTGTCCTCCTTACTAGCGTCTGCTCGTCTCGCTCGAGGTTCTCTTTCGGTTTCAGCTGCATTCGGCGGCGGCGTCCTTTCGGCTGTCTTCGGCGGTTCGTTTCTTGGCGGGAGATTCGAATCTCTGTCTGGTCTGTGAGTGCTGTTCTGTGTTATTTGTTTGTCCTGTAGTGTTTTCTCTCGTTTTCGCTTATATGTTACGGGCTCGCTGCCACACATCATGTCTTGCTGTGTTGTGTGTTTAGGGGTTTTCTTGTTTGGAAAGTAATACAAAAAAAATATATATTTTTAAAGGGACATTTCGCATAAAAAAAACCTGTTTAATAAGGTACTGTAATTTGCATGTGCCCGGGTTGGTGGGTGTTCGTGGGGGGCTGGTTCGGGGGGTTGACATTTTTTATCTACTCGCAGGTTCTGTCGTGGAGCTCTTCGATTCCCCGTGGAATATTTCTGCTCCTTCGTTACGTCAGGTGTGTGGAACCCGGATCTGAGGTTTCTTTTTCATTTCATGTTACGTTTCGGTTAGGGCACGATCGCACTATGTTGTGCGTCACACCACGCTACTTCGCATACACTAGGCGTAGGGTTTCTATTTTCAATTTGGTTATTTTTTCTGGCACATACGTTAGGGGATGCATCTGCCTTCACATAGTCTTACCCCGCACATGGGGTCGGGGGGGCTCTGAGTGTTTGTAGTGGTTTGGCTAGTCCCCCCCTTCCTCGAGTCCCCTGCTCATACCCAGATAGCAAGAAATTGTGCTGCAAGTTTGAAAATGACTTGCTAAACTATTGCAGACTTGCCAAGCTTCACAATTTTTTTGCACAATTACAGCAAGTCTGCATTGCAAGTCTCCAGACCAGCGAGCTTGCAGAGCTCTTGCTAAGACCTGCAGGACTCTTGCTGTAGACTTGCCAAGCAAATTTGCTACAAATTCAAAAAGTGTCAACTAGAACTTGTGCTGCAAGTGTTCTGCAGGTCTACAACTTGCCAGGAATGTGTGCGGCAAGTTAACAAGAATTACAATTTAACCCTATCACAAGTTTGTGGCAAGTTAACCTTGCTATCTGGGTACGTCATACGTTGCCATTCGTTCACACCTTCTACTTGTCATTTGGGCGGACGCAGTTCCGGTCCTAGTCATCACTTACTGCATCTCTAATCCCCCCCCAAAAAATGGAAATTGTGTAAACCTGATTGGTTGTCGTGCAAATGCTTTTTGCTACTACGTTCAGTGGGCATGGGCACGCTTGGTTGGTTCGTGCCTCAGCGCTGCCCCTCATGCTCCTAGTTAGTTTCATCCGACATGGGCCTCATTCTGCCCCACGTTGCTGTTCTGTGTGTTTGTTGGTCCGATCCCTTCTCTTCCGTGGGTGTCGGTGGTGGTTATTGTCCTCGAGGCCTACGTCTCCATTCTGCCATCCCAGCCAGGGGGTCTGAACACGGCTGTGCGATGTCCCTGCGTTCCTAGACTATTCCCCGACTGACCACGAGCTCCAGCACAAGGGGATCCCGTTCCCGGCTATGACTCGCAAGGCGGTACTTTTCCTTGTTGCTGTTCCCGAGTCTCGCTGCTGCCAGGGCTGCTACCGCTAGTACGGATCAGGTGTCCTTGCAGACCGTAGCCACATCCTTGATGCAGATTCATACTCTTTTAACTCACTTACCTCTTCTGTTTAGGATCTATGACTTAGGATGGAGTCCGTGGAGAAGTGCATCTCCGGCTCCGATGCCCCACCTCAGGCGCCCTCAGGTACTACTGCACAGGGCAACCTTCAGAAATCCCCCCCCCCCCCGCACTGTCGCCGCGCTGAGCCAGTCGCACTGTTCTTTTATACATGTGTACAGCTCTGTCATATCTATACCGCACTGCTGTACAGAGCACACTGACCCAGTCACATCAGTCTCTGTACAGAGGAGCTTACACTCTAATGCCCCTCCCCCCCACAATCACACGCTATGATTATACATGTATATAGTTCTGACATGTACCGAAGCGCTGTACAGTGTACGCTGAGCCAATCACGTCCCTCAAGCTTGGAGCGGTTGCTGCACATTTGAGCGGTTTGCTTTCGGGCTCGCCCTGGGCCGGCCTGCACCTGAAGCAGGCTGCCTCGGCGTGACTGTGCCATATCAATATCGGTTTTCTGGCATGTTGTCTAGCGTTGTTTTGCGAGTTCCGGCTGCTCACCCGCCGGACCGGTTTTCACACAGGGCTTGTTTATGTTCCCACCTCTTCGTTTGCGTGTCGCTACTACAGTCTTCCTCAATGGACCCAGAGCAAGTTGCTAGTTTATTGGAACGGGAGTTGGGAAAGGGTTTCCTTTTCGGTCCTGTTGCTACCCCCCTTCCATATTTGGAGTGTTAATCCTCTCGGCCTTTGTGAGCGGTAAATTGTCCAATGCACTTCGTGTGATCTATGATTTGTCCACGCCTCATTCTTCCGGGGTGCCCAGTCCGAATTCCCTGATCCTGTCGGAGTTTTCCCTCAAGTATTCTTCCATGGCTCAGGCTATTCAGGCCATAGTTTGGGAGTAGGGAGGCCTGGTTGTACAAAGTGGATATTTTGGATGCTTTTAAGCTTCTCCCAATCAGGCCATTGCTTTGGCAATGGCACGGCATTGCATGAGGTGAGATGTATTATTTTGCGACCCAACTTACGTTTGGGTCCGAGAGCAGCCTGTGGCTGTTTGACCAATTTGCGCAGGCCTTGCACTGGATTCTCACTGATTTTGTGTGTTGTCCGACGGCCTTCACTACTTGGATGACTTTCTATTGGTGGCGGGGCCAGTATGACCTCCGGCTGATTTGCAGGCTCTGCTGGCGATGTTTGCAAAGCTCAACGTACCGGTGGCAGCTCCCAAGCTGGAGGGCCCGGCAGTACCTATTACCTTCCTGGGCATCCATCTGGATTCCGTTCACTTGGAAGCGAGTCTGCCTCAGGATAGGTTGGACAGCATTCGGTTGGCAAGCCAGGCTTTGGTTCAGTCTGACTCGCCTTCTAGGAGGGAGCTGCTATCATTGCTGGGTATGCTCATTTTTGCCTTGCGTATCATCCCGCAGAGTAGGTCATTAATTTCCAGGTTACTGGCGCTACTGCCTTCCGCGCCTGATGCGGAATCTCCTGTGTATCTGGACTCCTGCGCACAAGCTGATCTGTTGCTGTGGGACCGGTTCCTAGGTGAGTGGACCGGTGTTTCGTTGTTTATACCGCGGGTGTCCGCAGTCTCGCCTCAAGTGGTCTCCGATGCCAGTTGGCGGCTATGTTGCTATTTTTGGCCCCCATTGGTTTGTGGCCCCTGGTCTGAAGAGGGCCTACAGGTGCCCTTAACCCCGAGATATATTCAGGACATTTATTTAGCATTGGGGCAGCTTCAGCAGCAAAGGCATCATAGTGCATATAATATAAAGTTTGTTTTTGCCCCCTTATTTTGCATACTGACCATAGTGACCACAGCACACCCCAGGTCTATGTAGGCAGGTTCGTGATCTCTCTTTTCAGATTCGTATTCAGTGGGGCTCTGACTACAATTAGTACTATATTATACACGTGTGTAATAAGGATCACGACACATTTCTTTTTTGCTTTTTTAATCCATTTATATAGCGTCATAGATCATTTGGAATTAAAGGAGGAGATTAGTTGTTGATACAACATTAATCCCTTGTGAGATTGCTACACAGGACCTAGCGCAACATAACAGCGACATTTCATTCACTACCACACATTGTTGCAGCTGGTTCACTTTCACTGAGTGATTACTCCTAGCGCAGCGGCTTGTTGTTTTTTATATAGTGAATAGTAGACATGTGCACTGCCAAAAAATTTGTTTAGTTTCGTTTCGTTTTAAATTCGGATAAGAAACGAATAAGAACAGAAAACGAAACGAACGTTCGTACTAACGCTATCGAATTTCGGAAATGGAAATTCGTATTCGTTTGCATTCGTTATGTCTGTAATTCGGAATTCGGATACATCCGAATGTCCGAATTTCCGAAAATTCGTCCGAATTTCGATTCGGAACGAAACGAATCGCACATGTCTAGTGAATAGCCCATACAGCAGCCCTTCGGTTCTACTGAACCAAAGGGGTCTTGGGGCTGAAGCTAGTTGAAGGATCAGCCGAAGCTACGGCTAGATCCTTCGGCAGCTTAGTGAATAGACCCCATAAATTCCATGCACGTAGTGGGCTTCATTTACTAAAAGAAAGTTCAAAAAAAGAAAGAAACTAAAAAAAAAGTACAAAGATAATTGAATCTCTTGCGGGTTTGCATCCAGCAAATGTGATCCCTTAACTTATCCACTAAAGCATACTGTAATTTTCAGCACATATGTTTTGTACATATATTTTCATTATGCACAGAAGGTTTATGCAATTGGAGAGATAAAGAGAACAAAAATGGCCATATTTTCAATAGTAACTATTCATGTTTCACTCATTTCTTTTAGAATATTAAAACTCTGACTGGTCACCAAAAACAACACCTCAAGCAGCTATTGTGCTCATGTTCTTTTCTCTAGTTTCCTTAAATGAGTTCCCTTGTGGGATATGTAACTTATAAAATTTTATTTAACTGTTTTACATTACCCATGTATAGATGCCTCTGTTTTAAATTTCAGGTACATGCTGTAAGTAGATCACTTGGTAACTGTGGTAATGCACCCTGTTCAGCCATTTTACTTCTGTTTGTTATCGATATGGAATATACTTCTCTTGCCACTCCTCCAGTTCGGTTTCCCTCACCCAGTCTCTACATTAGCTTCAGACTGCCGACAAGATAAAATTCTAAATTCTGCTTCTAAGCTATTAATTTTTGGTACCTCTGAAGGGCGCTTATCAATACATATACAGTATCTCTCACCAAACATTATGGGCAAAGAAAAAAAAATTGTCTTTCCTATAAATAAAAGGAAATATGTAAAGGAAATTATCAATATGTTGGACGATTATGTAATATGTTGGAGAACCTCTTGTGGATATTATGGTGGATGTTTACACTTGCAAATGCTTGTCACTTATCATTCATGTGTTGACATAGCCTTATCATGTTGCTTGATGCTTGAATTGTTTGCATCCTGGATGCATTTATGGATTGTGTTCATCTTCTACCTAGTGTAGAACTTTAAAAGGTTTTCTCACTGGATGCCTGCTTGCATATCAACAGACTTATTTTATGCTGCTCTCAATCATGGAAGTCTCACCCATACACCAAGCCTGCATGAGACTTATTTAGGTAGGCATCAAGGCAGCACAAAATATAAGAGGAATCTCAAACAGAGAGAGTAATCCATAGCAACACATTTTCTTTCACACAATTTTTGTTATGCAACATTACATAGGAACAACAGAAAGATATATTTAATAGGATGCTATGGACTCCTTGACTACATGAAAGTGGTCTACACTGGTGAAGTAAGAATGTGTGGTGCCCGAGAGAATTGCAATATTAAATGGACAAACTTCTCACTAGGTGAATAACAATAAGGCCCAACACTCCCCTACAAGTTTAGGCCAGCTGTACTATGTGTAGGCAATTATTTTAGTTCTGAAGTTGCAGTTCTCTAGCAATGTGAAGTGGGGATAAGGTACGGCCATTTACCAAACACAACTTTTTAATGATACCATGGCCTTCTATTCTGGGAATGACCAAGCATAGATGGGCACAGAGATACAGCACTGGATCTGGTGTCCATTATCACTGCAGCACTGATATAAACAGGAGGGCGGAAGTACAAATGCTATTGTTATATATTTAGAAAAACTAAAAACACTATTTTTAAGCCATATGAAGGAAGTAAACATTGAATTTCTAAAAGGACAGTGGAAAGCAGTTACTAACCCCTCTAAAGCTTTTAAACATGATGGTGACAGAAGATCAGCTTTAAAGGGAAATTAAAATTCAAGTTGTTTTTATTATTGGTCAGAAATCTATTAAGTAATAGTCTACTACCCCTAACATTCAAACACATATACCAAGTTGTGACACTTTTTTTGCCTTCTGTTATTTATTTTATAACTGCTTAATATATAGTTTTTATTTTAATTTATTTTATAAGCAGGTGTAATTACTTGTCTCTTTCTGTGCAAAAATGTTTGCAATAGAAAATACACATTTAAAATGACTTGATTAATACAACACTTTGTGGTATGAATTGTTTAACGTGATGTGAAGTCAAAAGGTTTTTAAGCTATTTCAAATGTTGATCAAATCACTTACAATGGATGATGTGCCTTGATGTTTAAACGTTTTTACAGAGTCACCTGTTTGCCTGTGCATTGGCCTTGATATCCTGTTTTAGGGTGGCTCCTTTCCCTTGCAGTGCCCTATAGAATCACCCTTGTGTGTGCTAGTAAGATGTGTGTATTTTTTTTTGTTTTTTTGTGCATGTCATTTTTTATTGAAAGTTTTTCAACGTTACAAAACAGGCAGATTATTACAAGTTCACAGTAGTGAGAAGTAGCAGAAATGTTATGCAGGTAAACATCAACAAAATACAAGATATAATTACAAGTATTACATTCACTTCCGAGACTAATGGGTGTGGTTACTGGGGGTGTGGCCACTAAAGGGTGTGGTCACTAAGGGGCGCTGTAAAGCTTTCTCGCACAGGGCGCCTAAAGACCTAAGGCCGGCCCTGTCCGAGACCACAGTACATAAGTTGTTATTGAGGGATCAAAGGAGCATAGCATGGGTTAAACTAGGTAACGTCTTGCTGAGGAACGTCAAAGGACATCTAGAGGTCCCAGGGATGCAGATATTTTAGCCTTGTGGTACCACACCGTATCCTTGAAAAGGGACACCACTTCTTTGAGTTGACTCAGAGATAATTCCTTGGTTAGGAATGGGGTCCATGTGGTGAAAAAACTGTCTGTACGTGAGCAGCTATATTGGGCGTCCAGTTTTTAAGATGTGTGTGTCTTCACAAACACACAGAAACAACACAGAAACAACAGGGCAAGCTT